CTAAAGCAAAGGTCAGACCGCCTACTAGAGATGGCACCTGTGTGCCTTGCTGTATAGCATGTCTCGTAGGATGAGCCTGCTCCAACAAAGACCGAGCCTCCCGCACATGGCACACGACTCGTTCCAGCGCATCTGAAAGCCCACGACCAGGAAGGTAGGCAAACTGTGGCATGTGTTTTAGGAACGAGAGGGTCAGGGGTTGTAGCGCCTCTCTGGCCGCTCCAGCCAGTCCTTTAGCATCCGGTCTCAAAATGCCCAAGGGACGCAAGTTTGCTGGCTTGTCCGAAGGCTTGCCCGGTTTGGGGATTAGACAAAGATCGGCGTCGATGAGATCAGATTCTAGTCCATCCTCTACTTCTTTAGCAGCCACATGTCGGGAAAGGACCGGTGCAATGACGTCACTGCAAAGTCTCCAAATGGCAGCAGGTGCAGCTCCGTCAGGCACAGCTTTATTAGGCTTGATGGAATGAATGTGAGCGGCTAATTTGGATGACTCCAAAACCGGAAAAGCTCCAGTCATTGGCCTCAGCGGGGGGTGAGCCGCGAAAACCTGGTTCGCGTACTCCCTGAGTGCCGCAAGCTCCTGCGCTGGGCCTAGAAGATGTCCTGTGCTGTCCTTGAGCTGAGCCCGACGCGCCGGCTGCCAAGGCTGCAGCTTTTTAAGGGTTTGAAACGAAATATGTTGGTCGCCCTCCGCTATGCTGGCGTCAACTTCAGCTATGAAACCCGCTATTCTGTCCTTTTTTGCTTGCTTCACAGCTTGTCTGTGCGCAACTTGCGCCAGCTCCACCTCAGTTTCCGGTTGAGGGAGTGTGTTCAACCCAGGAGGCTGTGCCATTGGTTGATGAGGCTCGATCAGCTGTGCTGAGGGAGCTGTGTTGTCTGCCCTGCAAAGGGTCCTGGCCCTCCACACACGTCGAGTCTCGGATTCAGGCGGGATCAGTCGTCTTTTGGGGAGTTTGGGGAAGAAACGTTCTGCAGCAGTGCATTCCAATCTGAAGGGTCCTGACAGGACTCCATTCTGGATGCTACCCAACTATGCAGTGCCTTGGCTGTGTCGTCCTCCTCACGGACTGCGGCCTGAAGAGCTAGGGAATCATAACGGCGTGTGCTTCCCTTGTGCGGTGGGAGTAACCAGTGGTGCTGGAGGGGGATTTCGGCCTTAATTGAGTAGTGCCCTCCCTTCTTCCAGCTACCCAACGGGCAGTCCGTCCAAGGGGCAGACCTTTTGGCCTTGCCTCCTGCAGTGGATTCCTAGTAAGGACAAAATCGATTTGCGACTCCACGCCACCTTGAGCAAAGGTGGCAATGTTGTCACAGTGCCAGGTATTAAGGGCCACCAATCGCAACCTTAGCAGCAGATTGGACAAGTGGGATTCGTCAGGACGATCCTCCGTGGGCTGCTTCACGGGTGTACCCACCAATGGAGGACACGAGCGCAGGGAGGTATTAAAGTCGCCTGCCACGACTAGAGAATCCCGCTTGGGCACCTGCTTGACCACCTTAGACATGACTGATAGTACATGACCACGGTCGTCCTTGTTAGACTGGATGGACTTGGCCGAGGACCAAGCATGTTGATACACAGCCACAAAGTACCTGCCATGTCTGCACGAGCTTCAAGGACCCTGCCTGGACTCCACTCCTTCCAGCGAAGGCTCTTGGCTGCAAACTTGGGTGAGAAGAGAATCATGACGCCATCCGCCCGGGTCGTGGATGGAGCCGCTTTCGGTTCCTGCCTAGTCTTGCGCTTCGCGCCCTGCTTCTGCTGGGTGCTACGTTTGGCAGACTCCGAGGCCGAAGAGATGCAATGCCAACCTGAAACACTGAACTCGCTAGTCTCCGTCCAGTGCGTCTCCTGCAGGATAAGGACGTCGCAGTGGTGGGAGGCTTCAGCCGCCAGCCACGTTTTTAGTTCTCCCCATTGCTGTTGACCTAGGTGCCCCGCGTTCCAAGAGACTACCCGAATGGATCTTTCTAGTCGTCCTGCCCTGCGGGAGGCTGTGCCATATGCAGGGGAGCCGTCAGTCTGTGACTGTAGCTCTCTTCTAGTGGGTGGGGGTCGTACCCCCAGCTGGTTGACCAGAGTGGGTGTCAGGACCTGCCCGCGGTATGGCACGGGCCCGTCACTTCGTATGGTCCGTCTACATGCTGTCTTGAACGAATTCTTGCGAAGAGATGCAAAGTTTTGTGAGTGCACTGGTAGTTGCGCCATCCGCTACTTTCGTCAAGAGACAGAAGCCTAATGACTCCCTCCACTGCGCGGAAGTGGAAACCCTACCGCCTACCCAGTAGTGTTGCAATGTTTTAAACAGAGTCTGGGCCCAGGAATTGGGACCTGGCGGCTCAAAGCAGCTCCTGCGAGAAAAGGGAGAGGACCATGGCGTAGAGAGGAGGCGCAAACCTTTACTGTTCAGAGAAGGGCCCAGTAGGAGCCTCTAGCACAGCAGTTGCGCCCCAAGCCTGTTCGAAACCTCTCATCCAGCGCGGCCGCTTGAGCACTTGTGGCGGCTACTACTACTACTACTACTACTACACTACTACTACTACTACTACTACTACTACTACTACTACTACTACTACTACTACTACTACTACTACTACTACTACTACTACTACTACTACTACTACTACTACTACTACTACTACTACTACTACTACTACTACTACTACTACTACTACTACTACTACTACTACTACTACTACTACTACTACTACTACTACTACTACTACTACTACTACTCATCACCCTCGTTTGCCGCACTTCAGTGGGGGTGACTTCAGGAGTGGAATGGGGTGGGGGGAATAACTGCATGTTTACATCGGTCAGTGGCATGATGGCATGTAAGTTTCCATGTTGGTTGACGCGCTGTCACAAGCATTCATGCCTTGTGCGAGCATGCCGGAACCACTGTTTCTTTTACGGGGCTTTGCCACTTTATGCGGCATACTGCAGAAGGATGGTTGGCTTTCTGGCATGAGGCGCACTGTCATGAGCGGTGATGCCTGGTGCGAGCACACACACACACAACTGGTATTTACAGCATCTGTGCTTTTTGCACAACATAGTGCACAACGATATGGTGACAGCGAAGATGATGAAGATCCCATACTGTCATCAGCATCTGCCATACTATCTTCAATATCTCATCTCATAGGCCTTAGAAACCACCTATATTCGTAAGTCCTGCGCCTGCCACGAAAAATGCAGTTGAAACAGCCGTTCCAAGACACGTCCTGGCTGCTGCAGCCGTAAAAAACAAGAGAACGGAACAGCAAAACTCTATGTTTTTGCCGATCTCAGAACAAAAATCATAAAAAAGAGGACGCCCCAATGTTCCTGTGTTCGCACGCAGGTCAAACATTCAAACTTGCTAACACAGTCCTGCACAGCTCTAGAATGTGCTTAAGACCCAAGCGAAAACACAGTTTGAGCATAACCGCACTTTGCATGTTGCAATGAAGCACATCACTGAACACCCGTTTGCCGCGCCATGTGCGAGGCAAACGAAGTAGATGAGGCCTACTAGGGCTACTACTACTACTACTACTACTACTACTACTACTACTACTACTACTACTACTACCGAATGCCCATCTTCATCAGGGTTTGCCATGTCAGAACCTGAGGCTACTTAATCAAAGCCAAACCAAGCCAAGCCATTTAAATGAGGACTCCTTTCACCTTTTTCTAGTGAGAAAACCCTATCCACAGGGAAACCCTGTCTAAGAAGAAAACCCCATGTAACCGAGAAGCCTTATGTAGTGGAAAACCACGTACAATAGCAACAACCTATAACTAGAAAACCCTATCTAAACAGAGAAAACGGGTTTAACAGAAACCCCTTATGTAATCGGAACCCTAGCTGCATCTTGCTTGAAAGCCGGCCCTAAATCTTAAAGCTGCCTAGTGTGGACGAGCGCGCGATGAAACGGCTGACAGGGAAGAGACGGGGGTCACAGGAGCAGCCTGGCAACAACAACAACAACAACAGCAACTGTTACTGCTGCTGTTGCTGCTGCTGCTGCTACTATTACTACTTTTGCTGTGCAATTCGCCAACGCTCAGCAGCGGCCTAGCGCGAAGCCCGGCGATGCAGATTTCCATCGGCTTCTCGGTAGAAGCGCAGAACACCGACACGAAGGTCCAAGCATGTTCAGAAAACCACGTGAAATTTTTACGAAGACTGCTCAGTAACCGCCCGGGACGCGAGCTCCCAGGTGCGACGGCGAGCATTTCGGATTCTCGGCGCTGCCTATTCCAAGATTGGCCTCTGAACTTCGCTAGCAATGCCACCTTTGGCCACAAGGCCCACGTACAAACCGACCTTGCATGTACAACTGCTCAGGCGAAACCCGGGAGGAATCAATCGTTCGAAGATCGGAAAACTTTGACATCACCGGATCACATAGCCTGAGGCACTGATCACCTGCTTGCTCTTACAATTACAACTACTGCTACGACGACGACCACTAGTACTAGTACTACTACTATTACTACTACTACTACTTCTTCTTCTTCTTCCGACCGCAGCTGAGAAGCGCGATCTCTGCCTAGTGAGCCCAGTATTACAGCAGGCAGCAGGGTCGGCACCCTGGCGCATAGCGCGAGTTCGCCTATTGCGAGCTCCCGAAGATGAGAAAAGATCTCATCGCACACCTCCCGGCTCGAGAACCCATCGTGCGAAGGCACGCGATGTGTGCTAGGACTGCTTGGCACTTAGGGGTTGCAATCTAGACTGTACAAGGAGTGCAACATACACAGGATAGGTGATTAGGGGCCGAGGTCCTTACGAGCATTAACCGAGCGCTGGCAGGGAACAGTCTAGTTGAGATCTGGTGTAGAAGAACACATTGGATTGTGCAGTGTGCAGCAAACTGCTGAGCAGTCAGCAGTGTCGCAGCACGGTTATCATCCGTAATGATCGCTTGTTCACTCTCAGGCTGAAACAAGATGCAGCGGTAGTGTCCTTCATCACAGCGAGGTCCTAGATACCAAATCATGGCCTTGCGGCGTACAGCACATAGCCGTACTGCAGTGCATCTCCGATTTGCACGTCGTGGCAGAACTTTGGCATTGGGATTTGCAGCTCTGGAACCACCGGCTGAACCGACTTATGTGAATCCGCGCTACCTATGTTAAACCTGTTGATCAAGCAGAGCACGGCGGGAACTTTCACCAAAGCGTGCTCACCCTCCTGCTGGGCCCAAGCATCAAGGAGTGATTGCATGCTGACTGCTGTTTTGCTTGGCCGGGCCCTGCCTTCTACAGGCTCCTGGAAGAAGACGGGCCAAATGGTGCCCCGATCAACACGCCTGGCCGGCTGATCACTTAATTTCATGCGCGATTCCCGCAATCCCACGGCATTGCAGTGCATGCGGGCGCGCAGAAAGGATGAGTACTCACCTACGTCATGCTGGATGCTGGGTTGTCGCAACCCCGTGTGGGCAGCCCTCCAGGCTAGGTGATTCCATGGTGTAACCGACCTGGTCTGCCTTCGAAGCCATTCCCAGACGGCCTTGAGAGGGCCCAAAGAAGCTATCCGGGCAGAATTGCTGTAGCAATAATTTGAAGTGTTTGTGAGCACAAGCATTTTACGAGTCGGAGAGCAGGCGCTGGAGGCGATTTCCAGTGCGCTCCTGCCCATCTTCTCAAGTGCGGAAGAGACCGCTGTGTGTGAGGCGGCTCAGGTGGCTCCACGTCAGCTGTGCCTCTGGGGTTCGATATCCGATAGTCGATCTGGAACATCATCGGCAGGATTTCGCCCTTGTGCTCCTTCACCAACTTGCGGGTCGAGTGAAATCGCATCACGACCAAGGGGATAAGCACCAGCCTCTGCTGCAAGCCCTTCAAGATGCGAAGTGCTTCGCTCATCGGCAGCGCCTCTTTGTCCTTTTTGATCTGGAGTGCCTTGGCCTTCGATTTCCACTCCAAATAAGGGATGTTGTGGTGCTCGTCCAAGATCATCATCTCCTGAGCCTCCCTCGCGCTGTCTTCGGTAGCTTGGCATGCTTCGAGGCGGGATAGGAGGAGATCGAGCGCATGCTTGAACGACCCTTGGAGGTTGACGGTCTCGGAGCCTCCCGCCTCTTTCGCCTGTTTGCAGACCTGGGCCACCTGGTACAGGTCCGCCACCAAGCTGAGCATGCCATGTGCCTGGAGGAACAGCATGTACCCAGCTTCGCACCTGTTGATGGCCAACTGGTCGTCTCGCCATCATGCCGCACAGCTCCTTCGGCTGGTAGGTCGACATGGAGCGAGCTCCCCAGTTCCTGTGAAACCAGTCAGTCTTCCTCCTGCTCGGCTTCCCGATCGTCCTGACGGTTCAAGTGCTTACCCTCCGCTCTCTTGTCCGCGAGAGGACCATCCAGTATCCTTCCTTTGGCGTCTCCCCTGGGCCACTTCTGGCCTCCCTTGCCGCGTCTTGTGTCCTCCGGCTCGCTGGTGCCCCGCTTGTTCTCCCCAGAACTCACATCCATATTCTCGGCTTCCTTCGCTGGGGATTTGGCCAGGACTCCGCGACGGGGCAGTCTTCAGCATGCTCTGCATCAGACTGGCCTGGTGTTCCGCGCTCGCCAGCTCCTGTTGCTGAGTCTCCGTGGGCTGGAGATCCTCCATCGCCATGCTGCTGGGAGTCAGCGCAAGCGAGCAGATGTAGCCGACCGGTGCGACACAAAGTCGTGCAGGCTTGGGCATGTCTGAGTCTGCTGATTTTACTGGCCTTGAAGTCAACGTGGCAGTATGCACAGAGCCAGCTCTGAACCCGTTCATGCATGCGAAATGATTCCTGATGCTGCACCCTGACATCCGGATCCGGATCCTGTGCCAGCTGTGCCAGTTCTGAAGACACTCCAAGCAGCGGCAGGGAGCCCGACTGTGGGCTAGCTAGTGCCAAGGTGTCAGGCGCCTGAGAGTCTACCGTCAATCGACGAAGGCACATCCTCCGCAGTGGGTCGGTTTCGCTTGCTTGGAGTTTTGGACAACGAGCCCAGTGCCGACTGCTGAATCGCCACTCACAATGCTTGCACTGTGGCATGCCTCGTAGTGCATGCTGCATGTATCGTTGGCAAAGCGCTCGCATGGTCGGCTTCGGCTGTGGCTCCGTGTCCTTATGTGCCTGACTACGGTGCCTAGGCATGCGGGCTTGGTTGGCAAAGCAGACTCCACATTTAGGGCATGCTACAGGAGGGCACGTGGCTACCAGAGGCAGGATGGTGCTGCTAGGTGTAACAGGATTGTTGCTAGCGGGAGGCGAGCGCACAAGTCTATCCTGCATTGTTGCGTGCCGCAGCAGTAGTTGCCACCACTGATGTGTCGAGGTCGGCCAAATGACCGAGATCGGAAGTTCCTGTTCGGCTCGTAGGCGTTGCACGCCTCTGCTTGGGAGGGTTTCTACAGTATTACTAAGCTTCAAACGGCTGAGGAAGTCTCGAATGATAAACAGTGGGGCCCTCCATAGGGTGCGCAGTTGTCTGATCACATTGTTCTGGAACTTCTGAAGGTCAAGGCGTGCGCAGTCCAAGCCAGACAAAAGACTGGCAAAAGGGCATGCTCCCCAAGCCAAAAATCTCTGACGCAGCATCAGACTTTTTGATTTTTGAGGGCCGGACTGACCCAGGCGGTATCTTAGGGGGTACGACTCAAGCTGGCTGCCCTGCCTCGCTTGCCCCAGGTTTTTTTTCCCGAAAGCATCGCGAAGGGTTCTTCCGTGTGGAACGCCGCAGCTGAGTACATAGATGACAGACATAGAATCAACTTACTTGACTCCATACTTTACTCTACACTCTACACTTGATACTTGACTCTACACTTGATACTTACTTACTTACTTGACCCCTATGACTGACTCTCTACACTTGACACTTGACTCTATGATACTTGACTCTACACTTGATACTTGACTCTATGTTATGCTTACGACTTACTTACTTACTTACTTACTTCAATCTACTTACTAACTTACTTGACACTTGACACTTGACACTGGACTCTATGTTATGCTATCTCTATACTTACTTACTTACTTACTTACTTGACTTGCTTACTTATACTTACTATACTTACTATACTTACTACTTACTGACTTACTTACTGACTCTACTTACTTACTTATGATTACTTACTTATGACTGACTCTCTATGCATCTATGACTTACTACTTCTAAGGGCGGTGGGTTAATAAGTAGATACATAAGTTAGTAATCGATTGTACAGTTTAGTGGGGATGGCTAGTCTAACATAGCAAGTGACCTAAGTGCAGTTAGCAAGGTACAATTACAGAAGTTAGCCAAACACAGTTAACGAAGTTAGCATTTTACTAACAGCACCTTAAAACCATGATGATGCCCATGAGGATGATGAAAAATCCAATGTCGCAATGCAGGGCGATTCGCTCGCAGGCAGGATCAGAACATGAAAAATTGTGACAATTCATGTGTCGCCATGCAGGGCGATTCGCTCGCAGGCATAGGCACAACAATCTGTTTTATGGCACGACCAGCATGCTGTCTGCACTCATGCGTTTGAAGAGGCAGGTTCGACTGATCTCGGCCACTCGCATGAACTGGGCTCCGTCCTGCTTGACCCGGAAGAGATTCTTCCCTTGTGGCTCAAGCACACTCAACAGAGCCAGGAGCTCGCCATGCTGCAACCGGCAAAACAACCACACCTCTGCAACGGACCCCGTCTTAAGCAGCACCAGGTCACCCCTCTCGCAAGTCTGTCCTGGGCAGACCTCGGCCAGCATGGCCGACTGCACATGCTCAAGAGTCTGAAACCCGAATGTCTGCCCCAGGTGCCACAGCAAAGCGCCATCAGTGACAGACTTGGGGGATTTCAAATGGGGCCGCATGAAGCCAGCATGCTCAGACAGATCCAGAAGGGCCCTGCCCAAAACATCTTTAAAGAGTGAAGCTTCGAACCAATCGGTCACTTTCTTCGTGTTGTCAGCAAACTGCTTCACCTGCCGATGCTTTCGTTCGTGTGTAAAGCACGAAATGAGAGGCCTGTCTCGAGCCATCAGGGGAAGATGGAGGCTGTAGTGGAACTTCGGTATACAGTGCTGCTCTCCATATGCTTTAAGGAAAGCTTGGCTATGGGCCCGAATCGCATTCTCGAGCTCGTCCGCCGACAGGTTCCCAGTCCGATTGCATTCAAGCAGGAGGTCGAGAACCATACAAATCTTCATAAAGGATCTGATGCATCGCCGAAGTTCGTCGTCCATTGTGTCAAAGTGATGAGTCAGCAAGAAAAGCCGCAGCAAGGGATAGACAGTGATGCACTGCGAAGCCCCGGCCTTGAACTCAGAAGGTTTGCTCCTTTTGTCGAACAAATGCAAGATTTCTCTTCTCCGGTTCTTCAGGTTGTGAGGCCATTCGTACTCTGAGATAAAGCTCTGGATCACCTGAAATGTTGCACCCTGCACATGCAAGAGTGGCAAGAGTAAGCTCGCTTCCACGTGCAGGAGGACGCTTACCACATAACAATGCATCCAATCCCACATCAAGCATTTCACAAGCGGCATGCTTTTGTGAGCAAGCACTCCAGATGGGTTAAAGTTCAACCCCATGCTGGACTCCAGCAAGGCAAAATCCTTTTTGCTCAGCATGGGTTGCCTTCTCGCCAGCAGTGCCTGTGCAGTGAAGATCTGATTGTCGGTTCTGCGGACAAACAGATTGCTGTCGATGCATGATATGTCATGCAATTCTCCCGAGTGGTCATTTGCTGGCAGATCACCGTGGGTCTTGCTTGTTATGTTGGCACATAGCGGGCAAACCAAAGTCCCACTGGAGCCCTTGAAGTCGTACATAGACTTCAAAGCTGCCTCGTCTGCAACTACAGTATGCAGTTTCGCGAAGAACATGACCCGTTCCCCGGTTGGCATGTTCAGCAAACAGCCCGACTGGAGGTTCAGGAACGATTCCGAGGAGACCAGAATGTGGGTGAGTGCAGACAGCCCGCCTTGGATCTTGTTCACCACCGAAGACCGAGTCAAGTTCAAAGGAAACCAAAGGTTTTCTTGGCATCGGCCTTCAGCATCAAACTCGAGAAAACTGAGGTAGTACCCTTGGATCTTCCTGGTGTTGCTGGCTTTTAGCTGGTTGCCAGGACTAATCTCATCATTGTATAAAGCCATGCGCCATGGGCTGGTTGCTGTGCACGGGTACTTCGATAGCTGCCTTTGGAAAAAGGCAGCTACACCAGGCATGGACTGGCAAACATGCCATATCCATGCCATCAGGTTGAGGATCGGCAGCTCTGTCGGCACGATCTTCACCTCCTCGTCTCCAGCTGCCTTTCGGCTCTTCACCTCCACAGGTACTGTAATCTTGGCCACCAAAGGGCCATGAGGAGTCTCTGCCTCCAGCTCGGAATCCCGTGCCCTTTTGATGCCTCGCCGGGAGGCTGAGTCAAGGACTTCAGGGCATGCAGCCACTTCCTTCAGTACTGCCTCCAGAGCACTCTGGCTCACATAGTGCTTTCTGCCGATGGTAGCGAGCGACATAGATTATAAAGATGGCTGCCCGCGAGCAAAATGCCCTGCAGGCACCGGATATTAGAAGTAACAATTCTTACAATAAATATGTTTGTACATACAACATGTGTCAACCTGTCTATAAATCCTTGTCCCCACGAAACCTTCTTCAACACAACAAAAACCTCTGGATGCACGTATGATACAATGTATGCACACGATCTAATACAACTAATTTCTTATAATGGCTGGACTATATCTACCAATATATAATATCACGTATATATAATATATATGTATATATATATATATGTGTGTGTAAGTATGTAATATACATACATATATATATATATATACATATATATATATATATATATATATACAGGAGATATTTATACTTGCAATGCAGCATCAGACCAATCTGCAAGCCGATCCGATCACTCAGGTTTACATGCTGCCTGGCAAGACACACACACACACACATGCAGCAGAAGAGGCAACATGATGTGCATAAGTGCATGCCTGCATGATGATCTTTTCCTCCCTCTGTGCTGCAGTCGACGAGTTCCCCACTCATCGAGCCGGTCATTTGAATCGGGCAAGCAGCTATTACTTACAGAAGCAGCTGGGCCTGCAGCCTGGTGCGAATCTGCATTTGCTGCAACCATTCGGGCGAAGGCTCACCCTTTTCTTCATGGAAAGATTGGCATAGTATTCTCTGCTACCGGCCGGGGCGGCTTTGGCCTTTGCACTGGCCTTTGCACTGGCCTTTGCACTGGCCTTTGCAACGGCCTTTGCACTGGCCTTGGCACTGGCCTTGGCACTGGCCTTACTGGCTGCCTTTGCTTTGGCATGGGCTTTGGCCTTTGCCTTTGCCTTGGGCAAGCCTGCAGGCTTCTTAAGAATCCCCTTCTTCTTGTTGACTGCATCTGCAACGAGCCCAGCCTGCCTCAACACTTCTGCCTCGTCGGCCTCGTCGTTTTCAGGATCACTCATCTCCAACTGCACTGCCGGCGAGACACCAGCTGATGCATTCGTTGCCGCCACAAGTGCTGTTTGCTGGACCGATGCAGATGCCCCTGCGGGTGCCTGCTGGGTTGCTGCTGCAGGTGCCTGGGTTCCTGCTGCAGGCCCCTGGCCCATGGTGGTTGCCCCCGCTTGACCTCCACCGGGTGCGAAGTACTGCATGTTCGGGATCGGGTCCTGCTGCTGCCTATTCTGGTCCTGCATGAGCCTCTGCATCATGTTGTTCATGGTGTTCATCATACCCATCATCGTCATCCCGGGCTGCATTCCTTGCAGGCCCATGTTGAATTGCATGTTCATGGGGTTGTTGTTGCCACTTGCAGGCCAGCTCGGCATGCCACCGGCACCCATGTTTCCACCACGAAGCTTCTTCGAGCTCCCTCTCAACACGATTGCAGATATGCTGCCTGCACCCTGTCGGGAGATTGCATCTGCACAGTGCATGCAGGATCCTCTTGAGAGTATGCATCGGCGAGCTCAGGGGGCAGATTGTCTGGCGATGCTGGATAATGCTCGAGGTGAAAGCCATTCTTGGGCAAGCCTTTGGCTTTGCTTTTCAGCATTTTCTTGAACAACTGCTTGTTGGCATAGCTGTCAACCGCCCCCACATCACCGCCTGCCCTGGCCAAGCCAGCTGCCAAGATCGCTTTGCAGCAAGCCTCAGATGGGCAGGTGAGCCTCAGCTTGATGCACCGGCATGCCAAGACATCCAACTTCACGTGGATGTTGTCACCAGCTTCCAAAGCCTGGATATCTTTGACGGACAGGTAAGGTTCGAAAGCATCAACTTTCTGAGTAGCTCTCTTGCCACCCTGACCTGTCCCGGTGTTGGTTCTAGCTACTGCTCCAGCCAAGAGATCACTGAACTCCTTTGTTTGTGGAGAAGTCCATTGCTTTCCTGCAGTCCATGCAGCCAGCAGGGCTGAGGCTCCATTTGCATCCACGGAGGCAAGGTTCTTCACTCGCTGGCAAAGGGCTTTTGCTTGCACCTCTCTAACACTGTCGTAGTTCGGGAGTGCAGTCATGGACTGGAGAAAATTGGCTGTAGCAGCCAAATCCCCCTTCAACTGATCCATGGCTGTGGCAGCAGACATGTCGATCTGTTTGCGAGCTTGAAGCCCTGCAACCGATCTTTGCAATCAATCCTTTTGAGCCTTGCTTGGACATATCGGCGGGCCAGGTTCGCGAAATTTTGGATTCTTCCTCTCTCTCTCTCTCTCTCTCTCTCTCTCTCTCTCTCTCTCTCTCTCTCTCTCTCTCTCTCTCTCTCTCTCTCTCTCTCTCTCTCTCTCTCTCTCTCTCTCTCTCTCTCTCTCTCTCTCTCTCTCTCTCTCTTTCTGTCTCTGGCTTTTGCTTCTCCTTCTCCAAAGTATATATATATATATATATATACATATACATATATATATATATACATATGTATACATATATATATATACATATATATATATACATATATACATATATATATATATGATAGTTCCGTATACAGACTAGATACACCCGGACATGATTTGAAGTTGTTCGCTCTCATGTCTTATGTGTGGTGTGCCGGCATCCTCACTTCGTTTCCTTTGTCTTTTGCAGCCGAAGCTAAACTCCCTGTTCCTTCCATCGTCCTTTTCTCCAGTCACCATCCCCTCCGGCCCCTTATATAAGCTGCCTCAGCCATGCCCACCTCCTATATATCCATGGCTCTCTGGCTGCTTCCCTCCTCCTCCTGCCTCGATCCCTCCCATGCCTGCTTGGTTTATCTGAATGCATGTCTGTTGTGCATGTCTCTGTACTTCCTGTTTTGGGCACATGTGTCAATACATGACGGTCATGCATGCCTCTGTCTCTTTGTCTGTGTCGTCTCGATCGCAAGACACCAAGAGAACATGAAAACACAAAGCCAAGACACATGACACTCACAGAGAGAGACACAGAAGCAGTCCCACAGTGCACAAAGACAGCCACATGCATGCAGGCACAGCGAGACACCGACGTGCACAGCAATGGCGACACACAAAGACAGCAGCAGTATATAGATACACACGAAAGCACAGCAACAGAAACACAACAAGAACACACATGCACATCATGTAGGACCGCACATGCAGTCCTGGTGACCACTTGTACCGAGAAATATGCCACATCCGGAAACAAGGGCTGACGACGATGTCATTGTTGTGTCTTCGTGTCTTGGTTGGCTGTGTGCCGAATGTCATTGCTTGTTTTGCACACCAGAGAAGCAACAATGAAACAAGCGAGCAACCAAGCAACTCGTAGATATGTGTATATATATATACACATACATATATCTATCTATCCATCTATCTATATATATATATATATCTATCTATATATATATACATATATATTCATCCTATATACATGTATATACAGTATTTAGCATATGTTTATTGTGGCAACCATACAACTCACATCTATAGTGCATACATATATATATATATGCATGTGTACATGTATACATATATATATATATATATATGTGTGTATATATGTATATATGTATATGTATAATATGTGTGTATACATATATTATAGAGCTTATGTCTACAATGTATATATATGTATATGTATAAACTATAACAATGTATGTGTATATACATATATATATGTATATGTATATATATATATATATATATGTCTGTATCTGTATGTATGTATGTATATATATATATATATGCATATACATATAGCTCTATAGTGTTAGTATATGTATAAGAACATAAAGGATATAATGAAGAGTGATATAGAGTGTAAGAGAATGAGAGAGAGAGGGGGAGGCGACTGCACAGTTGCAGGTTACCTTGCAAGCTAATGTTTATAGTTCTGTGCCCTGTGCTGTTTTCTCTCGTTTGTCTCTTCTGCCCTCACTGCAATGCACAGCATGCAACACAAGGAAATCGCCAGGGCAGGGCAGTGCATGCTCGCCGGCAGACATCCCGAATCTTTTGCAGTCGGACTCGCGACACGGCTACTGCATGCTCGTATACAGGGCTGGACCCGGGGCCAATTTCGGCTAGTCCACAGCAAGAAGAGCCCACCCAGACCAAGACACGGGCTGGCACATGTATATGTGTCTAGTTTAAATGCCAGTGCTTCCATAGCCTCGGCTGCAGCCACAAGCAGGGAACATGTACCGTGCCCATTTATTTAGGTTTTGAGTGTATGTGTGTGTGTGCATATGTAGATATTATGTAAATATAGTGAAGCTAGAGCCAGGATGACATGTTCCTGGCAGCAGCCACAAGCCGAGGCCTGAAGGTCCCTAAAGTATCAGGCCACCTACATTGCAGGTCTACATGCATATATAGAAGCCCACAGCACAGTCTCGGTCCAGGCTCCAACCCGGCAGAGCTCAGTAGGAAGATCACGGAAGAAGCCACAGGGCCAGGACCTGCACGAGCATGCAGGCTTCATCAATGCCCATGGTGCCCAAGATTTGGTGTCTGAGAACCAAGCATATAAGGATGCAAAACTTGAAGACGGCATCCATGTCCCAGGCACCTGCAATCTGGAATGAAGCCGGTCCAAGGAAACACGGGAAGGCTAGAGATGAACACAGGCACAAGCGAAGCAGCCGTGATGTTGTTGTTGAGTCATGGAACACCCACTCCAGGGGCCCGTCCCGATAGCCCAACCCGGCCATTGTACAGCCAGGCTTGCTGAGTTTGGGGGCACAAGGGCCCGGAACCTCGAAACCCAGTTTTTTATAGATCGATATTCCCGGTTTGGTCTCGGCGGCCACATTTTTATAGATCGATATCCGGGGGGTTACCCCGGCCAGACCAGAATTATAGATCGATATTGGCCGTGCCATTCCCACCACCCCGCCTTTATAGATCGATATTTCCGTGGTCACCCCGGCCACCGCACCCATATAGATCGATAAAAGTGCTGGTTGTCCCATTTACACAGTGTTGCTGCATGTCGGGGCCAGGGATGTGGTGGGTGGTGGCTCCGGTGGGGCACATGTCATCATTTGCAAGCCATGAAAGCCTGCCTCACTTGGGCTTCTGCTGCATCGCGAAGGAGAGCAGCTCCCTCTGGAACTGGGTCTGCAGCACGGAAACACTTATGTTCGGAGCCACATTCCACTGCTGATTTCAGAAGCCCGCCTGCTCTCGAATCGTGGCAACACTGTCCGATGCCAGGGCAAGAGCAGCAGGAGTGGCTCGGGCCATCTGAACCTGCTGCCCAGCCCTTGTCCGGCTGCGGGTCCTGCAACATGAACAATACGGGTTCGCTGTGCACTAACCTCGACTGGACCCCACCTGCCGGCCCCCGGCGGCCACCAATTGCCCTCCGAGTCGACGAACCCGGAGAGCTGGTGCCCTGCGGCCTTGGCGCCTGTGGCTGCCCACGGTGCCTTCACCTGCAAGCTTCATGGTTGCTTCCCTCTGCTCGCGAGCCAATGGCCCTGCGAGACGAGCTTGGCACCACAAACTCCCCGGCCTTGACCATCTGCTGCCCCTTGTATCCGGAGCCCTCGTGCATCCAAGTCGGTGACCAACGGAAAAAAAACCTCAAACCAAAGTAGCTGGGGCCCTGTCCTTGCCCCACTGCTGGATCCCGCCAGCATTGGGCACAGCCACCTTTCAGCTGACCGGAACCAGGACAAATCCTAAATCCTAAGCCCAAACACCAAACCCTATTATTTATGTGTATATCTACACACACAGACTGCCTTGTATATGTGACTATATACTACTTCGCCTGCAGGGCTATCAGCTCGCAGGCAGGATTGCATGTTGAATGTTCACTATCGGGAAAGTATATGTGCATATATTAGAATGTCTATCTATTATGTATGTATAATATGTATGTATGCATGTATGCATGTATGTATATGTGTATGTATATGTATGTATGTATGTAAATGTAGATGTAGACACACACACACATATATATTTCATATTAGATGTGTGCATGCACATGTGCCCTCGTGAGCCCAAGTGAGCATGGCCTGCCAGTTGGCTTCCCAAGCCATCATCGGCAACCCCTGTCACATCTCAGAAGCACCGAAACAACTCGGCCGCAATAGCAGACCGACCTCCCAAGAGCTGCTCGATCCTGCCGCCTCAGCAGCAGCAGCGAGGAGAAGCAGCAAACAATCCAATTTGCATGCATGCAATGGGGTCCCCACGGGCCACCTTCGGCACTTTCTCGGAGGTGGTCCCTCCGGTTCCTTGACCTCAGCACGGCGAGCATTCGTTGAA